AGCAGTTACTACCTTCATCTTTCTCCTCCTAACCAGTGGTTTTGTAAAAGAAGAAGAAAAGAAAAAAAACTGGAAAAAACAGAACATTAAACCCTCCACCATAGAGATACAATAAAGATAATCAAAGAATGGAGGTGCAACTGCACGAATCAACTAAGCCCCAAACTGCTCATGTTTACCACCTGGGCAGTTAACATGAAGAGGAAACTAGCATAAGCTACATCGGCAGCTATTCCCACTCGGCAAACTACCATGAAAGTAATGTGCTTTAGGTTTTGGCTTCAGTTCAACTAGCAAGACAGCTCTTTTGCTTTGTTGGGGGCATAGTGCGAAAGACCATTCTTTGGTGCTGACACCACTGACATTTCTGTTGACTGTCACTGACATTTCTGCTTTATCAATACGCACCACTTTGTGAAGCTCACCAAAACTATTACGGGCTGGGAATTATAGGAAAGAAAGGCTACATTCCCAGGCTAAATTGGAACTCACAATTCTCGTAAATATTGTCTGATAAACTTATGTAGCTGAATGTACATATACTTCACCATTATTATATGCACATAGTAATTTTTTGCTCCTGTTGGCAAATCATTTGTGAATCTTTGCCACATTCTGCCACTGTTAGTGTGAAGGAGGGGGGCGGGGGCTCAAGTTTTTGTTCGTGGTTGAGCAATTCCTTGATTTTATAAACACCTTGTTAAATGCTTTTGCTTACATTTAATAATGCAATAAACTAAAAATCAAGTGCACTTCAGATGTCAACTTGTACAGTTTATCACCGTGGAACATAAATGCCTCGGTCACACACACAAAAGAAGGAAATCTTGGAGAAGCCATGCAACACTTTTTGAGTATGGTCAGAAAATGCTGAAGATTTGTAGTCAAGGCTTTTGAGAACACGCAAGCTATACATTACAGTGCAGCATACGGCCTAGGATTTAATATTTAATTCAGTCTTCAGATAGGGAATACCTGCGCCCTGCGTGGCCGGTGACTTTCCGCACGCCGGATGCGTAAATAAATGTTATTTCTCTCTTTCTCAAAGTCAGATAGCCACTGTTCGTTCTTCTCTCGACAAGTGATGCCGTAAACCCAAACTCTGTAGCCAATGGCTTATTTCAGCATCGTGATCCGCATAGTTATCATGGCCGCCGCGAGATGCCACCGTGTGCCTGCGCTTGTAAACACACTGAAGTAAACCACTCATTTGAAGAAAAAACAAAAAAAAGTGCTCAAAGTCATGACATGCACTGACGGAGGGCCCATGTAAATCCCCTCCCTCACTACATAGCTTTTAGCTCACATTAAAGGAGAGAGAAAGCACTTGAAGTGTGCAACAAATTCCTGCATCTCTTCCTGTACTTGACATATTCTAAACATTTTTGTAGCAGTTGATTCGTGATGCAATAAGCTCTCTTAATGAAACCATTTGATGATTGCTTGTAAAGGTACTACAGGGCACCTTTTGGGCTTATTTTTTTGTTGATACTACCTTAATGAAAACCAAAAGATATTGAATCTAAAGTTAGTATAAAGGACAAATAACTGTACTACTTTAAATATATTATAGTTAGAATATAAAAGAAAGTAAAATGGACAAAAAGACAACTTGGTGCTGGCAGGTATCAAACCCGCAACCTTTGGATAAACTGTCCGATGCTCTACCAAACGAGTTATCGAGGCAGTTATCCTCTTGTTCATTTTAGTGGGCATTCATATGCAAGCAAACCTGGAAGTATTAACCAGTGCTCCTCGTAGCCATGATGGCAAGCGTAGAACACTTTTTTTTGCTAGCTTGTGTCACATAGTTCATGATTTTTTTTAATGATCCTACATCTGACCAATGAGCCCTCACGTACTACCTGAAGGCATAAAGCCTGCCGGAACAAGACCTTTGCTATGAACAAAAGAAGAGAATTTTAAGGGCTTGTTTCTTTGTTAATACAGCCTTAATCAAAACCAATAGATAATAAAGCCAAGGAAAGTGTAGAGGACATTCATTGCACTGTTCTAACTGTATTCTAGTAATAAAAATAAAAGTGCGAAGTGGACAAAGAGACAACAAGAATAAAAGACGCATGCAACTCAGTTGCAGCCCAATCACATTGGGCTTAATGTAGAATGCCGTAGGTTTAGTGTGCAAGCACGAATGACTCGGGACATACGAGGCAGAGAGCGGGTGAGTGCACGGGCTGAGGTGCATGTGCCAATCAGTTCTGCCATTATGAATGAGCGTATTCTGCCTTTAGATATCTGCAAACCTATTAATTCTAGAGGTGTTCGAATATTCAAAAATTCCTAATAACGAATTGAACAGCACTGTGTTTGATTCAGTACTCGAATCAAACAGTACATATCTGAAAATATTTGAAATGTTGAATAGTTTTTGAATAATCAGAACCGACCAAAGAAACCTAAAATAATGACACTTTAAAACAGCTAAATGCCATTCTTCTTCTAATCCCGAAATTGACCTGCACGCAGTTCAACCTTTACTGACACTATATTGATTGCCAGATGAACGAGTTTCAACTCTACTCTTGCTCCCTTTTCACTATGCTGAAGCTGTATCGCATCAATCAGCCCCCATCTTCATCTCGTAATTCCCGAAGGTGGGGACGACTGCTTGCAGCTCCATAGTTGATAACAGATGCAAGTGTTGTTTGCACAAATTGTTCTTGAAGATGCAGATTTAAAAACAGATAGTTGCATGCTTTCAGTGAAAAGGCAATTTTGCGAGGACAGGTGAAAATGCTTCATTACATGTTTAGCTATATTCATGGTGTTCAGTTGAAAATTGTACAGTTTATTTGTGTCTCAATTTTATTTATAATCAGGCGACAAAGTTTCACATCGAAAACGTTCGTAAATGCTATATTTGAACCTACACTTACAAAATATTAAGAAGGTTCTAGCTCCTGCTGCATACAAGCTTACCTTAGTTTTTGTATAAGGGGGGCTTGGGCTTTACTCAAGCAAACTAGTATGTGACTATTTCTTTCAAATAAGAAGTCCTGTTATTCTAAAACTACTTTGAAAATGGTATTAAATTCAGCATCATCACTTTATGATTTCATTACAAAATTCACTATTCACACACCACTCACTAATCTAACTTGAAAATTTGTATTGACCCCCCCACACAAACAAGGAGGAGGGTGCATAATCACCCCTCATGGGCACACCACCAGCAAAAAATAACACTGTTACAGTTACCAGTGCCAAAAAAGTAATTACATTAGAGATGCCCACTTTCAACAGGTAATTTGTTGCAGTTACAGTAACCGTGAAAAAGTAATGCCATTACCCGTTACCATTTAAATAAGTAATTAATTACATACAAAACGATAGAATATATTAAATAAAAACATGTGCAAAGCAAAGTGGAGAGTGTAACGAGTGAAGATGGACGGCATCCATGGAGTCTACTCCTTGTATTCTTCAAGGTTATTCAGCTCACTTTGTTTGGAAAGCTTAGCGCCCGCTAGGCATACAAACAGTTTTTAGCCGCTATAACTTGGCACACGTGACTGTGACATCCAAAGACCACACACCTACAGACAATCAGTGCAGGATCATCTACAAATACAATGCAGACATTGTGAAGCGACATAATTACATCGGCAAAACAGGCAGAAAAAGATGAGAAAAGGTAGCTAAAGTCCACCCTGCAATGCATTCTTACAAAGCTTAAACACAGCGAGACAGGGCATAGTTTTGACCCAAACAACGTGACGACACTGGCTCATGAACGAAAGTGAGGATGGGAGGACTTCCGGAAAGTGGAAAATGTTAATTCGCTATGACCTGTAAAGAGCAACCACGGACCTCTACTGCAAAGATGCGTGACTAATGGTCTGATGAGAATATGCTCATTGCTATTTCCTTTTTTGCTGTTGTTGCCAGCGTATACTGAGGATACCACCTGCATAAAAGTCTGTCAGTTTAACACTGAAGTAGATCTTTGACAATCAGTTACAAATAAGTTTTGACACTTCTGGCTTTCAGCCATATTGCACTGCTTTCTAGCCACTTGCCAAACACCACTAGCTTGGAGCCTCGGACTAAGGAATGTTCCACCCACACACCAAGAACATAGCTACAAGCTCAAGTGAGAAAAAAGACATACCCCCCCCCCCCCCCCCACATCCAAAAAAGGATCGTGAACTTGGAAACTATTCCATAGAAATACAACTGATTTATGACGTGTATATTACAAGTAAATTTCAAACACGGTCTTATGCATGAAAGTTATTCCTTTTAGCTACTTCTTCTCCCGAAGTGCGAGTGAGGCCCCATTGTGGAAAGTTGAAAGGTGGAGAGAAAATTGTAAAGAAGAAAGTGCGGAAAAGTGAAAAACATTTAATAATGGTCTTTGACGAGTGTTGTTGCTGAATTTTTGATAAAAACAGAAGTAACTGTAAGTGTATTTTCCATTACAGTCACAGAGTAAAAAAGTTACTGTTACAATTACAAATTGATCTAATTTAAATGTAACTAGTTACAGCTACAAATAACTAAAAAAATCACTTTACCAGTAATGCATTATCAGAAACTAGTTACTACCTAAGATTGATAATCACAAACAGGTATTCTTTAAATCTGCCCTGAACACACACATATTAGAAAATAAATTTTCTTACTGTTAATTATCTATATTTACCACAGTATACAAGTAGCAGTTAACTGAAAGTACAGACTGACAGGCAACAAACTTCCTAGTGACAATGCCAATTCTGACTGTGACAGGAAAAAAATTGTCAATAATGCTCGCAGATCATCTCACTGATGTCGTTTTATAACCTGAATTTTACTGAGAGAATGGAATGAGAATGTCAAGCAAAAACATTAAAAATGGTTCATGGATTTTTTTTTTGCCGTAACACTGCGAGTCCAAATTTGTAAACTTAATTTTAAAAATCTGTAATTTATAGATATGTGCTTCCCCATTCTGTGTACGAGTTCTCTAGTTGGTGCATTGAAGTGCTGCAACAGTGTTGAACAGGTGTGATAAACTGTTTTAATTATGAGCACAAGCCAATCCACGGAAGACAAAAAACAAGGGCTGGCACAAATCTATTGCCTGAAGAAGATATGTTTTATGTTTCTAGCGCATCTGCTTTCTTCTGCAAATAAAAGAACTTTCCATTGAAGGCACTATAGTTGTACGATGCTTTAGCTAACAGGCTGCTAGCTTGCAATACATATGACATTAACAGAAGCTTACTAAATTATTATTGCATTAATTTATTTAATCTCTAAAATACTGGTCAATTTATACAAACAATTGAACTACATTTTAAAGCACACAAAAAGTCAACAAAGCTATATGTACTGAGAGACTGCAAATGCACACAGTTCCTGCCACAATGTAAGCAAATGCTATCACATAGACAAGTATTTTTATTTATACATATTTATATATCTGAGTATATGTATAAAACTGTTACTAGCTGCAGCAGATATATTCTACTACAAGTGCAGTGGAATTTGATAACTGTAAGAAATAAACTACGATATATTAACAACATTTTTAAATAACACAAAACAACTCTCACTTTGAACCTTAGCCCATAGTCCTGTTGGGCAGTGCCTGAAGGCAAAAAAAAAAATGTTGAGCGTAAATGAACATCATAAAACCTCCTTCATTTTCAAAAATTCAAATATCGTTCGGCATAATGTTCTCAATGCCAAGCACTATTTGTGGGCATGAGGCACTCACCTGCCAGTAAAGCTGTAAGCATTTACTGCCAACATTCTTGCAGACAATGACTCACATTCTTATGAACAATAGCTTCTGAAAGGTGGAAGTGATAGCTGTTCAGCATAGAGGTACAGTCCGACAAATGCTGAGAAGGTGATCACCATTAAACTTTTTATACTGCTTAGCAAATAAAAGAGCAGTTCACATTGTTCAGTCCACTTCTGGTAGGGCATTAATGATGGAAACACTAATACAACAACACAATCCTCAGGAGTTCCAGATGACCATTTAAAGCCTAGTCCAATTCTAGTGGGACACTATGTCGCTGGTGGGCAAGCACTTTTGAGTTCTTCATTTTAGCCAGAGCATTGGTGAAGTCTTCCATACAGATAGGCCGCAATGCATCGTGGAATGTTTCGTCATCGTCTGAACCTTCTTTTGCACCAGACTGACGTGCGTCATGAAACGTTTCTTCATCATCAGACATTTCTTTGAGTCCCCTGAGTTGGAAACAGAAATATAGCAAGGATTATATAAAAAAACTTAAGTATCACTTCAGAAATAATGAGTTTTACTACAATCACAGTAAACCGTAATTTGGTCCCTAATCTGTTAAATTGGCATAGCATCTGTTTGACACAAACTAGCAATACAGTTGATGTTAACATAATAAATGTCTGTTTCCAGGTAATCACATTTAAATTTAAAACCAAGTATTTCCTTCTATAACTTAACAAAGCAATGCAGTAGTGTAATTATGACTCAACGAAATCCATGCGCACTCTATGCATCTACAGCTTTCAAGACAAGGAAAAAATTCCACCTAACTCGATATTCAAATGCCCACCTTTTTTCATATGCAGACAATGTTTTGACGTAGAGGAAAGAATGCATTGGCATTTGAAGAATGCATTGAAAGAAAGGCAGGTTTTTTTAAAGGGACCCTGAACACTTTTTCAAGTAACCAAGGAATGAATTCCCTGGAAGAGCTTATTGCCTCAAGAATTCAATGCCGAAAAAATTTTAAGAATCTGTCTTGTACGAGTGGAGTTACAAATATTTGTCACACGCTGCTAAAGCATTCTCTTTTCTCTCATCTCGACGAAAGCACTGAAAGCTAAGCATGGAGGAATGAAAAGGGCAAAGGAAAACGTCATTCGCGCCTCTTGACCTTGAGCACTTTTTTTCGACTTTTTCAGTGTGATCGCGTGCACACGCGTGGACAAGTAGCAGCCTCCCGCGGTGATCTCTGTAACTTGCAGGGCCTCTTTGCAACACTTTTTGAGCATGGTCAGAAAACGCTGCTGATCGGTAGTAGAGGCTCCCGACAACACGCAAGCCGAATATTATAGAGCGGCATGCGGCCTGGAATTCACAATAAATTATGAAAGTCAGCTAAAAATTCCTTTTTCTTCTCTCAACAAATCACAGAATATGCCCAAAAATCACACGTAGCAAGCCCATCTATCAGCCATTGGCTGATTTGAACATGACGCGCTCGGTCGTTACAGACATCGCCAGGGAAGGCCGCGACTGGCCCACGCGTGTGCACGTGATCACACTGAAAAAGCTGCGCATTCGAAGAAAAAAAAATAAAAAGAGTGCTCAGCTCAAAGTCACGAGGTGCGTGTGACGTTTTTCTTTGCCCCTGCCATCCCTCCCTGCTTAGCTTCCAGTGTTTTCGTCGGGACGAGAGAAGAGAGAATGCAATTGCAGAATGCGACAAATATTTGTCACACAGGACGGATTCTTAAAAATTTTGCAGCATTGAATTCCCGAGGCAATAAGTTCTTCCAGAGAATTCATTCCATAGTTACCACTTGAAAAAGTGTTTCAGGGCCCCTTTAAGAGTTGTCATGCTATACCATCATCCACATTTTAATGCAGAGCTGAGGCAGTTTCAGCTTCATAGAATCATTAGCATACTGCTACTAACAAAAATCGGTAGCCTTGAAAGGGGCCTGAAAAGATAGAGCAACTGTTTCAGTCCAACTACTTATGGTAGCCGCTAACACCAAGCACAGTCACCAAGGCTTACAGTATCATAATTATCACTGCTCTTTATGATAAGAGCCTCTTCTAAGGAAATGCTACTTAACAGTATTGTTCTAGAAACTGATTATTTATAATTGCTATTGCTAAATGCATTAAAACCTAGACGTAATAAAATTTACCCATTGAGATTAACAGTTTTGCTTTTCAATGATTGCTTTAAATGAAGGTACAAGCCTATTAATTATGTACTATTTTCCATAAGACAAGTCAGGTGCTGCCATCTTGGGCTGTTAGGTGAATGTTTTCTTGTCTTTGTACATCGTAGCATTAATTGATAAGGCCATGCAATATGATATGAGCCAACCCAACCATTTTCGTGCGTATGCATCTACCGCAACAGTGTTTGTTTAATTGAGTAAGATACAAAGCACAAAGCTTAATAGCCCGATATGGCTGCACTCAAACCCATCTGTAAAATAGTATATCGGATGCCACATAATTTGATGCACGACATCTTTCTGCAAACTATCTCAGAATCAAGGAGGCAGGCGTGTTACGTCACGACACACTTGCTGCATGTAAGAGCCATGGAAACAAATGTGCAGACCCTTCATCAATATTATCTACTGGTGTGCTAACAGGTATTAGAAAATTTTGAATAATGAATCGAATAGAGATTGATTGATTGATTGATATGTGGGGTTTAACGTCCCAAAACCAGCATATGATTATGAGAGACGCCGTAGTGGAGGGCTCCGGAAATTTCGACCACCTGGGGTTCTTTAACGTGCACCCAAATCTGAGCACACGAGCCTACAAGATTTCCGCCTCCATCGGAAATGCAGCCGCCGCAGCCGGGATTCGAACCCGCGACCTGCGGGTCAGCAGCCGAGTACCTCGGCCACTAGACCACCGTGGCGGGGCTAATGAATTGAATAGAGTTTTACTTGATTTGGTACAATCATCGAATGGTGAATATTCAATTATCTTCGCTATGAAATTCATAATAATTTTAACACATAGAAATTACTTGATATTGAAGTATCTGGTTAATTTAAATACTGTTGACAAAGAACCACCTAGAATACTATAGTCATTGCAATAATTAATCCAGCAGTTATGAAATATTTCAAAGGCTGTAGTTGCTGTTCACTAAATGTTTGTGGTATTTTTTATTGGTTCAAAGTAATCATAATGTTCCCTTGTTAAAGCTTGTGAATAATTGTTTCAAATAAAATGTGGTTAATTCTGGTGCTGTTTTGAAAATTATCACCTTGCCAGTCTAGGTCAGCTTTGAATAATGTTGCTTTAATATTAAACAATTCGAATTCACTATTCACACACTTCAACTAGCTTTTGAAGAGCAACGCTAACCAACGTTCCCAGTTTTGCCTCGCGCCATGCTATCGCATTAATGCTGATGCTGAGATTTAAAGTCAAACCTTATTAATTACTAATTTTCATATAGACAGGAATCATGTGATAGTTTCAACAACTTTATAAGCATGAGCCAGCGCTTCTTCAAAAAAGTTTTGTCACTGAATGTATGATTTCATTACCTATATCAGCTTAAGCTCGAGAAAAAAACAATTAAGGAATGGTCACAGCCACAATAGCTGCAAACAACTTCCAAATATCTGTCTTTGTAAAAGCAACCGTTTTTTATTTTTGTTTTAGGAAAAACCAGACACAGAGTGGCCGAACTACACATTTACTGTTATGAACGCTATACTACCTCCTAAGCTTTTTTTTTTTTTTTAACTCTAGGTACATATTGCACTATTAGGCCGTAGCAGTAACACACTGAGTAGCACCAGAACAAGAATCGTTTATTCCAGATAATGCTGCTGTATTTATACTGTAAGTCTTTGCGCATGCATGCACATACGTTGGTGACGAGTCCGCACTTTAGACGCCGCGATATGGCACTTCCTTTCCCTTAGCTGAAGCCCAGTCTGTCAGGCTGCCTTCTTATGCGCGTAGAACGCCTGGGAAGTTCAGACGCTGTCTGTGCCCTTGATCCTGGTTCACTCGGAGCCTGCGATGTGCCCAGCAATAGGTCGGTTTACTTGATGTCACCTGCCGGAGGCTGGTCTGGTGCAGGTGGATCACGTGGTGGGGTTGTTGCTTTCGTTTGTACGTTTGTTGGTTTTCGGCCAGCTGATAGGGGCCTGCCTTGCTGGCATGGGCGAATTCTGGACACATAGCTGGCAGCTGTGCACCAACTCTTCTATGTCGTGGTCTAATCCGGGGTGCCAAAACAATGAGCGCGCCAGGCGTTTCATAGCCGTCATGGCGGGATGGGTATCGTGGAGTAGTTGCAGCATATTTGACCGCACTGCTTCGGCCAGAACCACCCTATGACCCCAGTAGATTAGTCCCTTACTCACAGTAAGTTCGTGTCTGCGGGTAAAGTACGGCAGGAAGCCCTGTTGCTTCTGCCCGAATCGTTTTGGCCAGCCATGCAGAATCCATGTCTTCACCTGCCTCAGGAGACCGTCATTGTTCGTGCTGTCCGCCAACTGCTCGGTGCAAAGAGATAAATCTGTCAATGTTTGCGCATGCAGCACATATTCTACGAGATCATCTTCATAATTGTGTTCTGGTTCCGGCAAAGGCAAACGGCTCAAGGCGTCAGCATTCGCATTCAATGGCCCCTTTCGGTACTCAATGTCGTACTAATAGACAGATAATAGCAGTGCCCATCTCTGGATCCTGACCGCTTCCATTTGCGGAATAGGTTTGTCGCGATGGAACAGTCCTGTCAGTGGCTTATGATCAGTCACCAAACAAAATTTGTTCGCAAAAAGGTAGTCTCGGAACCTTGTCACCCCGAAAACCAGCGCAAGCGCTTCTTTTTACAATTGTGAGTAGTTGCGCTCCGCTGGTGTTAAGGTTCTCGAGCGAAAAGCTATAGGATAGTCGGTGCCATTAATACGGTGTGACAACACCGCCCAAGCCGACCGCCGACGCGTCGCACTTCAGTCTTAGAGGCTTTTGCGGGTCATAGTGGGCAAGAAATTTAGCCTTACTTAAGGCAATCTTTACAACCTCGCATGCCCTGTCATGTGCTGGGCCCCAGTTCCATTAAACTCCTTTTTTCAGTAGACCATATAAAGGAGCTAGCGTCGTTGACAAGTTGGGCAGAAACTTCAGCTGGCTTACCGATGCTGGCTTGGGCGCTGCTAGTACCACCTCTAGGTTGTCTTGCAGGCGTTGAAGGCCATCCTCGTCGATGCGATGCCCTAGGAACGACACCTGCGCTTCTCTGAATCGGCACTTTGCTTTGTTCAGCTTCAGGTTGTTTTCCCGCAGCAGCTGAAATACCTGCCGGAGCACGAAAGTGTCGTTTCTTTTTTTCGCCACGATGATGTTGTCTAGGTACACTTGTACGTTCGACACCCCTTGCAGTATGGATTCCATGTGTCGCTGAAACAATGCGGGGGCTGAAGCAATACCAAATGCTAGTCGATTGTAGGAGTACAGGCCTCGGTGTGTGTTTAGCACAGTTATCTTCCGGGCTTCTGCGTCCAGTAGCAGCCAATTGTAAGCGTTGTACAAGTCCAGCGTTGTGAAGACTTTCCCTCCAGAAAGAGCCGAAAAATGTCTTCAACCTTGGACAAGGGGTATTGTTCCAAGTGCGATGCTGGGTTGACGGTCAACTTGAAGTCGCCGAGCAACCGTATGCCGCCGTTCTTCTTTGCGACTGGGATCACCGGAGTTGCCCATTCTGAAATACTTACCGGCGAAAGCACCTCGTCTTGTACGAGACAGTCTATATCGGCTAGACTTTTGCACGCATAGCATACGGCACTGTCGTGCTTTGCAGAAACATGGGCAGGCTCCCGCTTTGAGGTGCAGTTTCACAGGTGGCCTCTTGCAACAACCAAGCTTGTCTTCAAATATATCCGCAAATTCTTCGAGCAAGGAATTAATTTCTAACCAGAGCGATGTTTTCTCCAGAGCCAGCCACCACTTGTGATGTTTCTAGAATACGCTCATCGAGATGACGCTGACTGGAGAACCCGTGTCTATGATCATCCGCAGGGTCTGACCCTGCCATGTCAAATTTTCCTCTCGTGGTTTCATGGTAGCACAGGTTCCCGAGCTGTGAGCAAAGAGAGCAACAAGCATCTCTTCTTCGCCCTCACCTTCTGCTGGCTCTACTGCATATGCGCCCATCGCCCGGGAGCGCCCCTAGCTGCACACCTTTGCTAGGTGTCCTTTTATGCCACAATGATAGCATCTTGATTACAGTGGCGACATGTGCGCGTAGCGTGGGGGCCACCACATCGATCGCACGCCTGCCTGCCTGCTTTATTATTGCCCCGCTGTGTCCAGTGCCGCCGCCCTCGCTGTGACCTGCTCCCGGTCATCTCCGGGAGCCCTTCATGCATGTCTCGCACGTCGTTCAGTGCTTTTTGCGATGCTATGACGAATTCTTCCACCTCATCGACAGTTAGCTTTTTGTGTGTGAGGAGGCAACGACGAGCATCGTCATCCCGAATGCCACATACCATGCGGTCTTGCAGCATCTGATCGAGGGAGTCGCCGAAGTTGCAATTCTTCGCCAATCTTCGGAGGTCCGAGATGTATTCCCCAAATTTCTCACCTTCCAATTGTTTGCGCATGAAGAATGAAAAACTTGCTGCTGTTTCAATAACTTGGGGGTTGTACTGTTCCTCAAGGTATTCAACGATTTGCTCGTAGGTTTGGCTGTTGACCGACACGGTGGAAAGGTGATCTTGCAAGCAGCGGACGACATTATCACTCAACGAAGACACCAGAAGAGCGCGGCGCTTTGCACTGTCGGTGATTTCATTTCCCTCAATATAAGCTTCCAGGCGTATTCGGTACGTGCTCCAGCTGCTCACCGTTTCGTGAAACCCCGGGGGGCGTTATGTCATCGTCCGTCCAATGCGTGCCACAGCCCATCGCGCTAGCAGGGGGTGTTTCAGCTAAATCCCATCCTCGTCGCCACTGCACTATCAGGCCATAGCAGTAACACACTGAGTAGCGCCAGAACAAGAATAGTTTATTCCAGATAATGTTGCTGTATTTATACTGTAAGTCTTTGCACACACATGCACATATGTTAGTGCCGAGTCCGTACTTTAGATGCCGCGATATGGCACATATTGCTTTGCTATCACCCAGTGAGGCTACTGGATCAAAAAACAAAAAGCCATAACTACGTAGCAGTACTAAAGAATGAAGAGAAAAAATTCAGGTTAGCTCACCCTCCGTGATGCTTGTCGATTCGCAACAGATCACGAACACGGTAAAGGGCAGCATTACGGCACAATTCCTTCAAGTCACTACCCGAGAAGCCTTCAGTGAGACGTGCAATCTTGGTAATGTCCACATCCTTGCTCACCTGAAAAAGTAGAGCCACACTTTTTAAATTTTGCTGAGGAGCGGTTAGAGTAGTAGGGGCAAATTTTCTACCTGTGTGACAAGGTATCTGGCAGTATACTCAAACAAAAACTTGGGTTGGAGACTTAGTCTGGAGGAGAGAGAGAGGAAAAAAAACTTTCCAGGCAATAAAATACCTGAACAGCCAACTACAATTGAATCCCTTCATAAGATATACTGATATAAGAGACACCAGGGCACCTGCAGTAAAATACGGGTTTATAGGAAAATAAACACATGGTACCTTACTTATAAAAAAAATCTCATATAAAAGACAACAATTGCTGCCCAAAGCATGCCTCTTATAAAGGGGTTCATCTGTAGTATATTTTTCACCATGTTTAAGCACGACATTCCAACTACAATAGCAGACGCTTTTCACCACTCCCACTGGAGATGAGCGGGGCTTGTACAACCTGACAGAGGCATCTGAGGGTGCCGCAGTTAGGCTATTTACCCAATTCATTTTTCTGTGTTTTCTTTTGCTTTAACAAAAGTGCAGTAAAAAACTTTAAAAGGTGCTCAAAGCATGCATCTTAGTGGAGAAAGAAGTTGATTATAATAACCAGAATAACCAAAATGAGTGGCAAAAGTGTGTCAGCAACAGCTTAGTTCAGATAAAAAAATAACAAAAATGCACTTGTTTGACGTGATTTTGTGAAAAAAAAAAATCTGTTCTCCCGCGGATATGATAGCTGTAGGGAACTATGCGAACGACGACGAAGCAGCAAGAAACGGCAAGCCACACCCCATCGGAAAAATTGCCATGGTGGATACTGGAAAACATGGTGGGCGTAGTGGAAATAATAGTGGGCATGGTGGAAATTATGATGAGTATGGTGAGACGTAGTGGAAATTATGGTGGATATGCCGGCACATACTGGTTGGTATGGTGTACAGAAGATGGGTAAAGTGGAAATGATGGTGGAAAGTAGAGGCAAGATAGTGGGCAATCATGGGACACTCTGCCCACCATTGCGATAATGCTGGGAAGCCCTAAGCATATGGTGGGTGGTGCTTATTATGGTGGGCCAAATGGTGTACCAAGCTGAGAAACTCTTCCCACTATTGCGATAATGCTGGGAAGCACTAAGCAGATGATGGGTGCTGCTTGTTATGGTGGGCCACATGGTGTACCAAGCTGAGAATCTCTGCCCACCATTGCGATAATGCTGGGAAGCAGTAAGCAGATGATGGGTGGGCTTATAATGGCGGGCAATTTATATAGTGTACCAAGCTGGGATCTGTACACTACATGTTCTACCACCATGATTTCCACCAAAGGTTAGGCTTACCGACCGAGCCCGTACAATTGTGTTGTCCGTGCTTCTGGGTTTCAGAATACACGATTTCGACGATTAAGAATCGCAATACAGCGCAGCCATGGCATCAATTAACCTAAATGAAGCATTTTTAATTGTGTATGATGTCTGCTCAAGAAGCAACAAACATCGATCCGACGCGATTAAGGCACTCCCAGGGAACGTACGTCCCCTCTCACCGACAGCCGCCAGTCGCACTTGCCCGCACTTCTCTAGCTTTTATGCGAGAACTCAGACGTGGCAATTCGTATGCTTGGGGAACCAATATGATAGCGTAATGTTTCCGGCACACTGCATTTGTTTTGGCCAAGCCGTTATGTAGTTGTTGCTATAGCGAAAGAGCTACAGCACTGCACTGACACAACCGCCCTCTACGTTGCACGAAAAGCATCCCAATACTCAATCAAATAAATTAGGCGGGCGTATGTATGGAATGAGCCTAGAAGCGCCATAAAGCGTGAGCAGATGTCACCCTTTAGAACGAACGCAAAAAGGATATTAAACTTGGCAGACCCCGCCGGTAAACTGTTGCTGCTCCCCAGTCCACTCGATTTTTTTTTTCTTGCAGTTGTGAATTGTAAAAAAAAATAGCACTGGTGCCATTAACACAGTGGCAATCGTTACAGGCAGCAGTTGCTTGTGTTCAATAAATGTGTCATTTTTAGTAGCAGGTGCAGATCTCGTCTATGTCGTGTACACGACAAACATAACTGAAGTTGAACGGGAAGTTTGTATGTCAACTAACTCTTTAACACACAACCAACATCATGTTGGTATGGCGCAGTGATTAGTGTCTCCAAATGGGAATCTGCATGTTGCACGTTCGATCCTCCGTGGCACCTTTTTTTTTTACGGAACGGGCGTTTTTTTACACCGTTTTTTATACAATTCTTTTTTTATTTTTTGTGGCAGCTCGTCACGGTGATTCTGATGCCATTTCGCGCTCAAGCGTTGCCGGCACTGCAGCACCCATTATATCCCACTATGTGACATGGTGGACGTTTCCCACCATTCACCCACTACATTAATCCACTATAATGGTGGATGGTGGTTTACACCATGCCCAAACATAACTGAAGTTGAACGGTAAGTTTGTATGTCAACTAACTATTTAACACACAACCAACATCATGTTGGTATGGCGCAGTGATTAGTGTCTCCAAATGGGAATCTGCATGTTGCACGTTCGATCCTCCGTGGCACCTTTTTTTTTTACGGAACGGGCGTTTTTTTACACCGTTTTTTATACAATTCTTTTTTTATTTTTTGTGGCAGCTCGTCACGGTGATTCTGATGCCATTTCGCGCTCAAGCGTTGCCGGCACTGCAGCACCCACCATATCCCACTATGTGACATGGTGGACGTTTCCCACCATTCCCCACTACATTAATCCACTATAATGGTGGATGGTGGTTTACACCATGCCCACCCTTCGTTTTTTTCCGATAGGGCAGTGTTGGTGCATACGCGCGACCCGAGCTTGCGCTTGTTTTGTATTTTCGACCTGTTGACAACTTCCAAAGGCATTTCTGTTTGGTCAAAAGAGTGCGACGAATCCTTCAGCGTGCTTCGGCGGTTATTATTATTACCTCCAATACTACGACATTTTGACCCCGATGCGCCTACGGAGGTCCACACCGATGCCATGTGGTGTCGGTCTTGGTGCTGTATCGGCTCAACGAAAACCCGGATACCAAGAATACGTGGTCGCTTACGCGAGTCAAACCCTCAAGAAAGCCGAGTGTAATTATTCCGTCACAGAGAAAGAGTGCCTCGCAATTGTCTGGGCTTTGACGAAGTTCCGCCCATAACTTTACGGCCGCCCTTTCGAAGTCGTCACGGACCACCACGCTCTATGCTGGCTATCATCGCTCAAAGACCGGTCGGGTCGTTGGGCGCTTCGCCTACAGGAATACGACATTCGTGTTATATACCGATCCGGCCACAAGCACTCTGACGCTGATGCGCTATCCCGCTCACCGCTACAGGCTGACCCAACCTCCTCGTCAGCTTCTTCAGCTGTCATAACACCAATCAACTTCACAGACATGGCATCAGAACAACGCAAAGATGTGTGGATTTCCCAACTCCTCGCCTTTCTGATTGATCCGTTAGCTAATATGGTCTCAAGAACTATTCGCCGTCAAGCCACACATTTCGCTATTTGAGACGACCTCCTCTATCAGCGGAATTACACGTCTGAAGGTCGGAGATGGCTGTTAGTGATACCCAACCACACGCGCTCGGAAATCTGTACAGCTTTCCACAACGACCCGCAAAGCGCTCACGCCGGCACTCTCAAAACGTACAACCGTCTACGTCAGCGGTACTACAGGCGCGGCACGTACACATTTGTTCGCAAGTACGTACGTGCTTGTACTGCATGCCAACGATGTAAAGCCCCAACTCAACGCCCTGCCGGTACACTTCAGCCTCTGCCTTGTCCAGCGCATCCATTTGACCGCGTCGGTATCGACTTATAAGGACCACTTCCTACGTCGTCTTCTGGAAATAGGTGGATAATTGTCGGCGTGGACCACCTCACACGTTACGCGGAGACGGCAGCACTACCCGCAGCAACCGCGAGGGAAGTTGGATTTTTCATCTTGCGCAACTTCGTTCTTTGCCATGGTGCTCCCCGTAAACTTTTGAGCGACCGGGGGCGTGTTTCTTGTCTGACGCCATACAAGCCTTGTTCGCTCAGTGCAACATGGTTCACCGCATGATGACAGCATATCACTCGCAGACGAATGGCCTCACAGAACGATTTAATCACACTCTCGGTGATATGTTGACGATGTACACAGCTTCAGACCAGACCAATTGGGACACTGTCCTTCCATTCGTCACGTATGCGTATAACATCGCTACGCACGCGACAACAGGGTTTTCCCTTTTCTTTCTGTTGTACGGACGCGAACCATCGTGCACGCTGGACACTATCCCCCCATACACGCCCGACTCCTCTGAGTACACTGCAATTTCTGATGTGGCCAGGTACGCAGAAGATTACAGACGATTGGCCTGTTCACTGACAACCGAGGACCAAGGCCACCAGAAGCTACGTCATGACACCGACCGACATCTCTCTACTTTCCCGACTGGTGCTCTCGTTCGGCTCTGGATTCCACCGAGCACTCCTGGCCTTTCGTTGAAATTACTGGCATGATACCACGGGTCCTACCGCATTCTCGCCCGTACGTCACCAGTCAATTATGAGATTGAGCGTTTGACACAGTCTCATGACTTACGCCGTCGTGGCTGAGAAATTGTGCATGTGAGTCGCCTGAAGCCGTATTACAACCCCGCTATAGTGACTACGCCTTAAGTCGCCAGGTTGGCTACGCTATTCACCGGGGGCCAATGTAGGGAACTATGCGAACGACGACGAAGCAGCAAGAAACGGCAAGCCACAGCGTTGGTGCACACGCGAGACCCGAGCTTGCCCTTGTTTTGTATTTTCGGCCTGTTGACGTTCCTCGCTTTTCTGGCGTTCCTCGGCCTTCCAGTAGGTCTATACGTAAATAAACTACGTGACACAGCGACTACATATAGCAGCATAGTTTCTCTAAATCATCAGATTTGAACAATGACTGCGTCTCGATAAAGCGGCATTGAACAGCGATAGATTTATTTAAAG